TATATATATATATATAGTACAAGTAGGAAACACTCAAAGTTTTCCTTCATTACAATCTGGTAGCTCAATTTGAAGACACGTGTACAAACAAATACTTTGGTACCAGCTCAGGGAACTTATTTCCATAACTTATTTAATGATGTGGGATTAAGAACAAATGCTTATTTACAGAATTGGCCCGACACAAGGAGATTCACCTGCAGGGCTTCAGCAAGACTGTCGCATCTATCGCTCCTGTTTTTTTCTCTCCTCAACGTGCAGCTTATTGTCACAGTGAACTCATNCACACTTGATTTTGGCAACTTCTTTTTTTTTTTTACTTTTATTGGATAACGGTAATCTGCTCTTCATGAATGCACCAGCATCTAAACAAGTTGGACACTGTATACCACTGTGCTCTACATTTTATAACAGGCTGTGGAAATCACTGTACCCTGAAATCATTTTAGAATTGCATATTCACTTTCACTTTCTGACATTTGTCTGTTGTATTGTTTGTACTTCTACTACTACTACCACTACCAATAATAATAATAATAATAATAATAATAATAATAATAATAATAATAATAATAATAATACTTCAATGTTGGAACTGGTGGAGGTGGGGCTAATTTAAAAATCTTTTTATACTGCTAGGTAATTTAATCTGCAACAATGGATCATGTTTTACTAACAGATCATATAGATTATGTGTAAAATCTTAATCTGAAAAGTAACTAGTAACAATACCAATAAAATAAAGACAGTGGAGCAAAATCAATATTTCTCTCTNACCCGCAGGGCTTCAGCAAGACTGTCGCATCTATCGCTCCTGTTTTTTTCTCTCCTCAACGTGCAGCTTATTGTCACAGTGAACTCATGTGCAGAAGAAACTAGCAACATTTGATTCGTCTCAGACTCTGTTTTTTTTTTTTTTTTTTTTTTTTTTTTTTAAATATATAGCAAAATGGTCAATGTGTCTTTGCTAACCACCCACTACAGGCTAATTAACTCTTTTAAAGCAGCAAGAAAACTATAGTACAAGATAAAGGGTTTCTAAGACTTCAGCAGCAGCAAGCTTTAAAGAGCAGAGTGAAGAAGCAGCCCGGAGCAGCAGTTGTGCGTCCTGTAGTATAAAACACCAATCATCCATTTTATCATCTGAAGTGGCTATTAGAGCGTACGCATTAATCAGCCCGAGGGGCAAACGTAGATTCTAAAGTGAGTAGCCACTGATGAAGACACAACCCCCCCCCGCCCCCCCCCCCCCCCGAACTGAAAACGTGTTCCTCTGGTTATGCATCAGCTTGATGGATTAAAGATATCATTCCATTAATTTCCAGCCAGGCTGACTTCCATTCATTTGCCATTTTGCAGCATGTGTGGAGTTCAGGCAGATTGAAGATCAGAGCAAGAGAAAGAGGGAGGGAGAGGGAGATGAATACTGCATTTTATGAGGGATGTGAAGCAGCACCTGCGTTACATGGCCATTCATTAAAATCACATGTGGTGCCGGGGATTCAGTGAGAAACAGGAAGGACTCTGAGCATAAATTTATGCTAATACACAGTAAGTTATGTGGTTTTGTGTTTCCATGTGTCAGAACATCCAGATTAATTACATTTAGAAATGATGTGAGCAGAGAAGTGAATCAGTTTAAAGTTTTTCAGTTGGAGGGAAGTTGATTTCTTCTCTGAGATCAGAACAAATTATTCTGTCTGAGGAAAGAAAACTTTCTAATTGAAGACCTTTTCAGAATAACTTCAAAGTGACTCACTGCATTTAAAATTCATTAGAGGCATAAACGCCTTTGTTGAGGCTGTTTATGTTCTTTTGATTGTCATTTTTTAAAAGAAAAACGCACAATAAATGAGTCAATACATATAGGTCATGCCTAAGTGACATGATTGATGACTATATCCACTGACTAAACTAAAATTATCTGCTGTTTCCTTTATTTAATATGAGGAAACACAGCAAACTCAATAGAAGACACAACTGAGTCACAACTAAGCCGTGTCTCACATAATGAAATCACCAGACAAGGCATTTAGACCGTACTGTATTCTCTCAATATCCTTGCAGGTGACAGAAACCAGAACTGGGCCGCTCGGATGCAGCAACTACGACAACCTGGACACAGTCAGCTCGGTGCTGGTTCACAGTCCAGAGAACAAGGTTCAACTACAAGGTAAAATCTGCTCCCTAAAAAATCATTTGTCATCATGAGCTCCTTCTAAATTAACACTGATGCCGCTGCAGAGTTTGACAGTGATAAGGGGGAAAAAAAAGTCTTATTGTGCTGTTGGACGTCAGAAAAGCAATGCATCTTTGTCTTTATAGGAAATCACTGTCTAAGTTGCCCTTTGAAGCTAAACACAGACGTTTACGGTTGCAAGCGGACAGACTGGACTGATCAAATCTCCCCCGTTTATCACACACAAAGGCAAAATCAATGATGTAGTTAATAACAATTAATTAGTAACAGCAGCGACCACAAAGACAGTCTCAGTAGACCATTGACCAACGTTAGCAACGTTAGCATGTAAGCAGAAGTAGCATGTAAACGCAGTACTTACACAAGCATTTAATGAATGCACGAGACATATGTTAATATTAGATCTGTGATATGACATTTACACCACGACTGAGGACAAACTTAACTAAGCCCTGGGACCACATGACATCGTTAGTGTTACAACATAATGACTGAGGGAATCTTACCTGGGAGGCATCCATACATCCAGAGAGTCCAGACTTTGTTCCCTAATTGTTCACTTATTGACTTACTGAACTGGTCTCCTGCTGGCAATCCATTAAAATGATTGGGGAAGGTGTCCGGTTGATCCACTATGTCGCAAACTGACACTTGACACCTCTAACCGTTACTTTGTGCCACCAGTTCGGCTCCGCCCACAAAACACAGCATTGTTGTTTACAAACACAAAAAGGTCTATAGCAACCAAATTTTTGCTACTAATGTTTAAATTAAAAAAAAAAAAAAAGTCCAGTAATTTTGTAGAACAGCTTTTAACAGATGCTACTCGAGCCTGACCTGATCCTGTTTTTCACACCCCACAGGGCTGCAGGTCATCCTACCCGGCTATTTACAAAGCCGCTTCATTCACGCGGCTCTCAGCTACATTGGCTGTAAATCTGAGGGCCAGTTTGTCTGCCAGAACAGTGACTGCTGGTGCGAGTGCAGCGTGGACTTCCCTCGGTGCAACTGTCCCCTCTCTGACCTGGAGACTCTGGAAAACAACCTGCTGCACATCAGAGACTCCTGGAGGCTGACCAACCAGGAGTTTGAAGAATCCGGTGAGTCATGGGATTTGAATTTACTTTGACCCTCCAAAAAGGGACTTGAAAATGTCAGTTTGAATGGTGCTGTCAAAAACCCAGACGTGGAACATTGGCTTTTAAAACCTTTCTCAGAATTTTGGATTTCAGGATATAGTTGATTTTCTTATCAACAAAAGAATAAATTTAGACTTGGATTTAAGAGCTAACATGAATAAAAACACATGTCTTGTTTTTGCTCTAAATCAATTCTTGGCTGTCAAATACTGGCAGCTGCCAGATACTGAATCAAGAGACCTGCCAGTCATGTGTCACATCAAATGATGTTTCTGGTGCTCTCAAGGTGCTCAGGGCTGCAGTGACTGAAAATACACAGACCTTTTAAAGACATCCATCTGTTCCCACCAATGTGCTGTGAAGAATCACTGAAGAAGAAGTGTGATTAAAGGCATAGATCAACACTATAGGAAATATGCTAATTAGCTTTTTTTACCAAGAGTTAGGCGAGAAGATTGATAGCACTTGTGTGTCTGCACAGTGTATATTAAACCGACGATTACTCCGTACAAAATTCAAAGTGCAAAAATAGTCCAGCACATAAACCCCAAAATCCCACAACAGTTGCAGTTTCATTTTTACCATGCAGACATGTGTGTGGTATCAAACCTCTCATCTAACACCAGTCCAACAAACAAAAACGCATTTTCTTTTCCCCAAAATGACTATGACTTTAAATTAAGTAAGTAATTTAACGATAAGTCATTTCAACAAGTTAAAGCTCCTGAAATGAAAAAGGCACCTTTTGCTTAAATTTTATCCAAGCGAAAAAGTAAACCAACATACAAAAAATAAAATAAAATAAAATAAATGACAAAGGGAATAAACTAAGGATCTAAAATTATAATATCAAAATGTTAAATTACTGCTGTATTGTTCCCCTAACCACTACAGCTGAAGCACCAGTTTGGAGCTCTTTCATTGATTGTGTGACACTGACTGAGAGGCCTGATGTATAAGACGACGCTGTATCTTCCTCTCTCAGAGCCCCTGCTCTAATGTCCCTCAGCTCCACGCCGTGCACAAAGGCAGCTCAACAAATAAAGGAACCAGCAATTACACAAAGCCTGGCCTGTGCCCAAGAGCTAGTAATGTATACACATTAATTTTGAGACAGTGCTCTAATTACCATAAATACACTATACATACATTTTTGCACAGCACTTCACGCAGACATTTGCAGCCAATTTGTAAGATTGTTTTGTGGCACACAAAGGAGGAAGAACCAGCAGAGGAAACAAGGCCAAGGTTACAGGTCTACCACTGTGTTATTATAGTATCTTGGATGCACTGATGTTAAGCATATAAAGTAGCACACCTTTGACACAGACCCCGGTGGTGTTGAGTCTCTATTTTGGGATCTCACATGTATAAAGAGAGTGACACAATACACGGCTGTCATGTGTGCAAAGTATTATTAATACTACTGAGGTGCAATGTAGATGCAGTAAATGCATCTAAGTGTGAAAAAGTACAGCCCCCCCCCCCCCATCATCATAAAAATGCCATGGAACTTTTCTAAAACATTTGTTTTTCTTGGTAATGTTTCATGCAAGTCATTACTGTTACCATGGCAACCTGCCTTACTTTCACATCACAGAAGGCAGGAGCAGCAATTTTGCTTTCAGTGTCATTCACGTCTAATTATGGACTAGTTGCTTTGAAGGTGTGCGGCGCTGTATGCTGACAACAGGTGGTGGTTAACATGCATCTTTTCACAGAAGCAAAATATGGAAGGTGTTTGTTGTCTGACACGCTGATGAGATCAGCAATCCTCCCTCCAAGAGAAGAAAATCAAAATAACAAAACATGCTTTTCAGGCGTGTTGCAGCTGTTACTTCTTCTCTTGAGCTGTTTGCTTTTCTGGGACAAACAATGAAGAGTAGACAGTTTTCTTTTCTTTTTTTCTTGGTTTTTCTTTTTTTCAATACTGTTACCCTGCGGCTCATAACTACGGGCAGAGTTTACTTATTCATGTTCTCTTTCCTACCAGAGGAGTTCCAGAGCTTTGTTGGGAAACTGCCAACCCATTATGCTGTAAACACATCTGTCGTGGAACACTTGTGGAGGACAGATGCCAGCCTGCTCCAGCGCTACAGGCACCTGGAGACCAGTAGCAACCAGCTTTTCGCCAAAGCTCGCCGCACCACTAACAAGCTCTTCAGCCTAAGCAGGAGGTGCCGGAAACAGCCCAAAATAGTCCTGCAGCGGCCGAGGTAAGATGCAAGACAGGAGCAAGTGGGAGGAATATTTATACTGCAGCCTGTTAACCCAAGGTGCTCCCCAAAACTTATAATTATGAAAATGATTTATGCGGCAGGCGCTGGGAGAAAGCAGCGGAGTGAGACGATACTTATTAGAAGGCACTTGAGGAAAAGTGGTTGTGGAGTGAGGTGAAAAGTGCTGACAGGAGCAGACCTGCTTCTGCTGTTTCCGGGGGGGGGGGGGACAAGTGGGATCATGTTTTGCCAAACAGACGCAACGGTTTCACTTTAGCTTTAAACTGCATCACAATCAATCCAGCATCTTCACATTCCTCATGTAATAATTCATTCGTTTTAATCGCATCCAGGAGTTCATGCTGCCGTGGACTCTCTTTGCTTATATCTATCCCTACATTTTCTCCTTTTTTTTTTTTTACTGTTATGGCTGCTGTTTCAGCAGCACTCCCACCTGGACGCTCTATTTCAGCAGCCTATCAGAGACCTCTGTGGTCATAACTTCACTCAGATTTATGCCTCTCTCATGAACGCTCCATGTTGATGGCTATTTCTGGCAGGGAAATTAACTAAATGACACAATCCATCAGTGTGCTAGTCAGACTGCAGGCCCTGCCTCCTCAGTCTACAATCCAATTACACTTCTTTATCACACGCCCTCTGCTTGTAAAAAATAAATTCAGTAGTGGCTTAGGGTTACTAGGTGATTCAATTTTGTTGTGTTGTGTCTCTGTGAAACAAAATTTGTGTTTTGTTTTATTCATTTGCTTATTTCTTTTCTGTATTCACATTATAATTATGTTTTACTGCGCCATATCTATAAACTAGTGTAAACCTGAGAAAGATAAGATGTATGAGATACTAAGAGTATTATGATGGGTGTGGGTATGATGTATGATAATGATGTGTGTGTGTGTGTGGGTCTGTGTGTGTCATCTCGTCATCTGCAACACAGACGGGGAATTCAATAGATTAAAATATTCATTTTGATCTGATTTTGCTTCTGTGGTTCCAGCTGAGCCGGAGTTTGGCTCAAATTGTTTTTGCTGCACATCAAAACAACACATATTTTTTGTGAAAGTACTAATCCTGTTGGGCAAAACATTTCTTTCATTGCATAATCACGAAAACACGAAAAAGACTCAAAGTGACAAATATAAATTCCTGTAATAGCCAATACAGCAGTGCAGACACTGAAACTGAAGTGTTTAACGCAGCTGTTGTCTCTCCTTCAGGCCTCTGCACTTTTGGTTGAGCTACGCCCTCTCCATTTTATACTGCAGTGAGAACAACCAGGTTGGTGTTTACAGTGACGAAAGCCACAGCTGCTCCTGCCCCTACAGCCATCCACCTTGTCAGGGCCTCATTCCCTGCTCTGTGGGCGACGGAGCCCGCTGCGCCTCCTGCTCCACTGAGAACCGGACACGATGCTCCAGCTGTAACTCCGGCTTCACCCTGACCCAGGGAGCCTGTCGGCCTGCCGTGCCCGACCCTACAGACCCCTACCTGGGCTTGGAGAGCGACCGAGACCTGCAGGATCTAGAGCTGCGCTACCTGCTGCAGCGGCGGGACCCGCGCATCTCTCTGCATGCTGTGTTCGTGAGCAATGACGTGCGTGTAAACACGTGGTTCGACCCGTCCTGGAGGAAAAGAATGCTGCTCACCCTCAAGAGCAACCGAGTGAAGTCCAACCGTGTTCATATGCTGCTCGGACTCGCCCTCCAGTTTTGCCTCACTAGGAACAGCACTCTGGAGCCGGCCCTGTCTCTGTTTGTGAATCCCTTCGGGGGAAGCCATTCAGAGAGCTGGACCATGCCTATAGGCCAGCACGGATACCCTGACTGGGAGCGGACCAAGCTGGATATCCCTTTGGACTGCTATAATTGGACGTTAACTCTTGGAAACAGATGGAAGAGCTTTTTTGAGACAGTTCATTTCTACCTGAGGAGTCGTATAAGGGACTCTGTGGGAGCGACAGGAGGAAACAAAAACACAACGGTGTACTATGAGCCTCTGGAGGAGACGGAGCCGTCCAACAACATCGGCTACATGAAAGTGAACAGCATGCAGCTGTTCGGATACAGCGTGCACTTTGACCCAGAGGCAATCCAGGACCTGATTCTGCAAATAGACTACCCGTACACTCAGGGATCACAGGACTCGGCCCTGCTGCAGCTGGTGGAGCTGCGCTACAGGGTTAACCGTCTCTCGCCTCCAGGGGCCCCACATGTCGATCTGTTCGCCTGTCTGCTCCGCCACAGACTCAAACTGTCCAGCGCAGATGTGACCAGGATACTCACTGCCCTGCAAGCTTTCAGTGCCAGACAACCAAACTACGTGGAGTACGAGGCAAATAAACTGTGTAGTTAATGGCCACTATTTGATGTTTTGTACTATTTCCTTGCCACAGACAGGCCTGTATCCTTTGTCAGCTGGATCCATTTGTGTCAAGTGTGTGGTATGTTGTTCAAGGCTTTGTTGTACAAACACTATGTGCAATTAAATTTGATGTTTTTGTAATTTCAGTGTAGTTTTAATGGATCAACGTTAAGATTTGTTTTCAAATCTGAACTATTTCTCTACATGATTAAATATTCATTCCTAAATAAGAAAAATTCTAGTCAAAGTCAAAGTTTGAGGAAAAAACATCCTTAGAAATTATTCATAAAGAGTTTAGCAGTGTGTGGGTGTGGTCATGGTGTGGTAAGAAGTTGATTGAGAAAATTTCCTATTTTTGTTACATTACATTTTAAATATGCATACACAAACACAAGCACAAACACTCTGACATGCATGAAAATATCCTCATAGCCGTTCCTAGTCTGTCTGACACTTGTAGCATCTATCTCACTGGAGAGTCGTAGTGGTGTGTGCTGTGTTGTTTTTGCCCATCTGGAGCCTCAGAACACAAGGTCTCCATTCTCCATTGAGGGAACGGCCTTGGCGCAGATTACTAAGTATATACTGAGAGAAGGGAGGGTTGGGAGCAGCCGTCCTCTGTTCCTCCGCCGTCCCCGTCCGCCATTCACACTTACTGTGATAGATGAGCTGGGGAACCACAGAGACATGCCCAGCATCAAACAACGGTAAGCTAGGTATCACTGACAGGGATAGTACTCTTGCCCGGCGCCAGAGCGAGTTGGACCGTCACAAGAGTGACTCTGACCAAAAGGGAAATCAGCTTTAATCCCCCACAGGCTGTCAGCAGCGGAGCCGCGGGGTAGCAGCATGGCGCGGCTTTGATTAGACTAGCATCTAAAGAGCTTGTAGCAAAGACGCAGCTTCATCAAGATGCACCAGACATGTTTCTCGTGAGATTAAAGCCAGACACAATTTGCTCTGATTCTATCGTTCAGGATGAATGTGGAGAGGTTGTTGATGCAGTTTTGATTGTGAGATGAGGTGCAGAGCATAATACTACCACCACCATACTGTCATTCAAATTACTGTATGATGCATCACGCTGCAGTGTTACAGTAAGAATCTGTTCAATCAGCAGACACACAGAGTGCAGAGTAGATTGGCAAAGCTCAACGTTGTGCTGAAGGCACCGATTTCATTACGAGTTTTAGCATCTTCCGCAGGCTGCCTTTGAGCACATTGATTTTACAATGTTATTGACCAATTGTAAGACACAGCTGCATTGTCTCCAGGCTGTAACACAAGTCTTTTATTGAGCTATTAAGACATCACAAGAGCAAGGTATTGGCTAGTTGAGTCATATGGTAAAATCACCCTTTAAAATTCCCTTTAACACCCCTTCCTTTTCCTTTTTTCTTCTGCTCTCATTTTAAAAGTTGTTTTACTTTTAGAGAAGTTTATGTGCTGGAGGTAGTTTGCAGCAGTAATATTTAATATGCCAAATTCTACCAACTTGAACTGTGTGTTTTAATTGACTGCAGGGAAAAGATTGCGTGTGCGAGGAAGATAGTGAATCTGGACCACGTCCCAGTAAAGGGTTAATTCCTGTGGTTAAATAGTGAGCATCTGGCGTGATTTTAAAATCTTTTTAACAAGCAAATATTCTGCATCTGGGTGTGAAAATGTGGCGCAGTGTTCATTGGAAGCAGTCCAGTGTACCTCTGGGGCAAGTCTGTTACGGGGAAAAGAGCTCTGGCTTGGAAGCAGGTTTTGGTTTGAGGACACACACCTTGTCCTTGAGCTCAGTTTGAAAAGAAGTCTTGTTATGTTTTGGTTCAGTTTGATTTAAAGGCATCATCCTTAAATGAATTACTGAGGTTAATGAACTAGCACTTTGAGAGAGTTGTTACATTAGCAGATTCCAGTAGAACTGCATTAAAAAAAATACTAAGTAAACAAACATTTTATCGTCACTTTTATCATCATTAACCAACAACAAAAGTGCTCAAAGGAAACACAGCACAAACCTTTTGGGGACTTCCCTAAAACCTAAAAAGACTGTATGTACAAAGAGGAGAGAAGTAACAACCAAGGACGGACTACAAAATAAACTTAACCCCCATTTAAAGAAGAAATACACATTTTTGCAAATACATTTATCTGCTTTCTTACTGAGAGTAAGATGAGAAGATTGATACCACTTTCGTCTGTGTACGCTATATAGATGGCTAGCTTGGTGCAAAGGCTAAGCTAACATGTCATTTTTACACCTTGGTCTTTGTAGCCATTAAACAAACACAATACAATGTGTTAACTAGTTTTTTACACTTCTGGAATAGGCAGAGTTTAATACCACTGGACAGAGACAGGTTAGCTGTTTTCACATGTTTCCAGTCTTTGTGTTAAGCTAAGCTAACCGGCTGTAGCAACAGCAAACAGATATAAGAGTGGTATCAATGTTGTCTTACTCTACCTCTCCTCTATGCCTTTAAAACCCTGTCCCCGGTGTGAGACGGTGTCCGAGGGGCTACCATGAAGATGGAAAATGTGATGAACTATGAGGTCAGCTGTCTCACAGGCTGTAGGGAGATTGTGGAGAGCCACAAAGTGCAAAACCTTGGAGAAACAATCCACAATGCTAAGTATTACTGTGTTACTGTGAGCAGGAGGTCGACCCGTCACAATGTGAGTCCAAGGCCAACAAGGGAAAGGGAGGGGATGAAGCAGCCTTGCAGGTGGGCACACACACAGTACAGGCAGAAACATGTGCACGAGTCTCAGCATCAATTGGGGAGAACTAGAAATGTCGCTTCAGGAGAGGCAGGTTGCGAACCAAATCATCCCCCAGATCATGATACTGAGAGGCAACAGTGGACGAGACGGTTGGTTCAGAAATGGATGGGATTATGTTGTCTCAACCACGACTGACCAAGAACCAGAAAAGCCTGAGGAGACAGCATGAGGTGGAATTGGATCTGCTCACCATGGTTACTGGAGAGAAAAAGATTTCTTTACAGTGTGTTACACAGTCTTCCATCCGATGCTTTGGCATCCAGGACGAGATCGGGCAGCTTGACAGAAACGCCAGCTCTGGAGTCCACTAAAGCAAGCAGCACCAAAGACTGCTGGTTCCACCTGTTTGGCTCATCACCACCACTGCTACTGGTGAGTCTGGCCTTTTGGCCGAAGGGAGCAAGTGTCAGGGAAATGACCTGGTCTCACCACAGTATATGCATGAGATTATTCAGCAGGAGAAAGACAGGCCCGACCCAGCCGCACGGGTTCTCCTCCGGGGGAGAATGGAGAGGCAGAGCTGGGAGATGCTCGGTAAAAGAAATGGCAGGTTGGTTCTCCCCCAGCCCAAGCTAAAGCATCTTCTCCAAGCAACCACATAATATAAGTCATTTTTGACCCATCTGAATGTGGAAGATTCATATTAACAGCCTTAAACTCAACCAACCTAGTTATAGAGAGAGTAAAAGACTAGATCAATAGCAATTCCTACATGGCGAAGCTGAGCTGTATAGTTATGACTGTTCTTTGTGTTGCTCCAGTCAAGGTTAAGCAGAGGTCGACTGACAGAATCTCCCCACGGTTAAACAATAACAGCATTAATGAGGTCAAGGTAGAAGTCAGGCAGCTGAGAGGGACTGGAGGAAAATAAGACCGATACCTCGCTGTGATATAAACTAAGAGGCCACGACTGCCTTTGACAAAGCACGTCTGGCAAGAAAGGATTACATTTCCAAGATTACTTCAGAATATTATTCTCCACTATTGACCAGCTGCTCAACACTGCCCCCACCCCCCAGCATCAAGATGTGCTGAACTTGCTTTGTTCTTCGATAACAAAATAACTTCAGTTAGAGTCTGTGTTACTGCTGATGTAAACAAAGATAATCTCAGTAGACCCTGTGAAAAGGATGTTACCAGAGATCGACCCTGGTGTAATCAAAACCTGTGGTGCATTCGTTTCCGTCGGGAAAAGAAGTTCTGTTGTGCTGTTCGTTTCATAGAAGAGTGCAAGCTCAGACGAAAAAAGTTTTTTATCTTAAAGAAAAAGTTTCTTACTGGATTTTATGAATTCTATGTATTCTGTTGTTTCCTATTTTTAATGATTTATTACCATCTTTTTATTTTATTTTCATTCAATTTATTTTACCAAATAATTATCAACAAATGGGTTTTATTTTCCATCTCATTTCATATTGATGTTTTTGACATGTTTTTATGTTCATTTTATGTCTCACTTAGTGCATGTCATTTCTTTGTTGTACAGCCATACAAATAAAAGTTTATTATAATTATCTTTAGTGGAGGTTGACGGCTGTTGTTCACCAGGGAGCACTGACGAAGGAAAGCCCTGCACGTCCCCACATCTCCAGTGTAGTGCTGTGGCTCTGGGATGTGAGGCTTTCCTGGCAGGGAGCCTGCGGGAGTAGGACAGGCTACAGGAGCGGGCTGGCCGGGTGAGGCGAGTGGAGAGTGAATGTCCACTTGGTTACCAATCTGTATTACACGGGCTAACGTTCAGAGAATGTGGTCGTGCTGTCCCACTACAGAACCTTGACTGAAGCGAGGGCTTGCTGGAGCGAGTCTGTGTCCGCTGGGTCCATGTTGGCCAGTTCGCTCTGTTACGGTCAACACACACACACACATACACAGAGAGAGAGAGACGGACAGGGGAGCACAGGAGGGAAATACTAGAAACACAAGGAAATAAACTGGAGGGACGGCTGTGACTGTGACACCAACGAGTAACTAACACGACTTGACTTTTAAATAATGGCCAGAATGGGAAGCTGCTGTTACATCTGAGAACTGAGACTATAACGAGGAAGACATTAGGTTCAATTATAAAAGATTTGGGGGTTTGCTCTGTTTTTCTCACTAACAGCTGAGTAATAGCCTTAAGATGCTGACCAGGAGCAGGTGCTGACTCAGGCCCGTTAACATGACCCTTGGATGATCCGATCACAAGTGGACAGCTCTAAGCGTGACACTTCACA